TGATCTCATGGCTCTTCTAGGCTTGGAAGATTGCAAAGGCTGTCATCTCCAGACTTGGGCAAGAATATTTGTCTCTGTGGCTCTATCGGTCTCTGTCTTATCATCTGCAGGAACATCACAGGCAACAAAGGAGTAGCTCACCTGTGCAGAAAGCATCTGGAAGTGAGAAAGAAAGCTTGAATGGTATCGGGACTCAGATTAGAAGGAGTTTTAATGTTCCCAGAACCTCTCTCTTCCATGGTGCTTTCTATTCATGTGGGTGATGCACTAGCTCTTGCTGTCCTGCTCTGACCCTCTCTGCTCTTGTTTACCATACCTTTCCTTGGGCCAATCTCTCTCTCAGGCAGCCTTCTGGCTGTTCTCATTTCTAGGCAGCTTTCTCACTGCCAGACTCACATAGAACCTACTTTGAGCCCTCTGTGATCCCTGCAAAGGTGGCTTGGTCCAGTGTTCACAATAGCCATATTAGAATTTATTAAAGGCAGGTTTATTGGGAAGCTGTACTCAGCTGAGTTCAGTGGCCCTAAGGATTGAGGCCAGGGAAGTCTCCATAGGGAGAAAGGGAGAAGAGAAAGAGAGAAAGGGTGTGTGCGTGCGTATGTGTGTTTGTGCACGCACGCACACACGCGCACACACACACACACACACACAAAGGCATGACAGACACAACAGAGAAGGGGGCAGAAGGTGTATGTGTGTGTGTGTATGTGTGTGTGTCTGTGTGTGTGTGTTTTGGGGGGTGGGTTCTAGACTGTGTAGTCTGCATAGTGGAACCAATAATCGTATAGATATATTAGCTAGGTTTACATAGAGCAGTGGTTCTCAACCATCCCAATGTTTCCACCCTTTAATACAGTTCATGTTGTGTTGACTCCAACCATAACATTACTTTCCTTGCTACTTCATAACTATAATTCTTCTACTGTTATGAATTATAATGAAAATATCTGTTATGCGGGATATCTGATCTGTGACCCCTTGTGAAAGGATCTTTCAACCCCCAAAAGGGCTCACAACCCACAGCTGAGAGCAGATGACTTAGAGGAGCAGAATTGACAGAATGTTTTTGTTGTTGCTGTTGTTTGTTTTGAGACAGGGTCTCAAGAGTAGCTATTATATAGGGGTTTTATTAGATTGGTCTGTACAGTATGGACTGGATCGTTCAACAGTGGCTGTCTGGACACTAGAGAGGGTGAGAGCCCAGTAGCCCAGTCCACCCAGCTGGATGCCTCAGCTGTCTTAATCTAGTGTTGAAGGCCTAGACAATTCATGGAGAGCCGATGACCTTCAGTCCACAGGTCACAGGCAGTGACCTGTCTCAGACAGGCTTGTCTCTTAGTTGAGCCCAGGTTCAATCAAGTTGACGATTAAAGCTTACAATAGATGAGTTGTTTGTCATGTGTAGAAAGTTAGTTAATCTTCTACAGAGTTTTCGAGACCACAGGAAGTCAAAGCACAAACAAACAAAAATAAAGGAACGGGAAGTAGATGATTCACATGCAAAGCCTGTTAGTAAGGAATCCCATCGGTTTTGAAGGGAGATATTTACCTTGCTACCTTAATTTCACCTGACTTTTTGTAAGGTATTAGGTTTGCAGTAATTTGATGCATAGATTATCTCTAAGGAATTCATAAGCAACCCTTCATAGGATTTTAGACAACAAGATGATACTTGCTCATGATTGCCGTTTTGTTTGTTTGTTTGTTTGTTTTGTTTTGTTTGTTTGGTCATAACGCCGACACACTGAATACTGACATCTAGTGGTCGAATCTAGAACTGCAGCCAACATCCTTGAAACATGACAACCTGCTTACTCTTGGAATGTTTCAGCCTCAGATAGGGTTGAGAAACACCTCCTTCAGGAGTTTCCTGGGATTCCCTCCTCTTTGAGCTGTAGAAGAAACATCTAGACTGCACTGTTTCCGTTTGGTCCTATAAACCTACTCCATTTTTTTCTGCTTTAGTTTTAGTTAATAAGTTTGTTTATCTGACAATTTCGTACACGTGTAAACTATATCAAGATTGCTCTCACCTACTCTCTTTTATACCCCTCCCATCCTTGTTAAGTTCCCTCCTCCCTTCAACTCTTGTTCTCCTACTCATATCTTTTGGTTTTGTCTGGAGACTCAAATTTAACAGTGCTTTCACCATCTGCTTGGAAATATCCACAGGAACGTGGTGGATTCACCAGTAGGTTTAGAACTCAAGACAATGACTCTCTGCCAGAATTTATCAGTATGAGGTAACTCATCAGAGAGGGTGTGAAATCTATAAACAGCACCGACCTGCCAGGCATGATTAGGCCTCTTGTGTAACAGGAGCATGACTGTTATTGGGATAACCAATTATTCTCTGATTAGATCTGGGGTTTGCTACATAGGAGGGAGTCCATGCTTGGCACTGCAAGTCTAGTCAGAAACACTTGGCTGGGGAACTCATAGGCTCTCAGAGAACACTTCATACTGTTGCTAGGTTGACAGAGCACCAAACTACCTTCTAAATATATTTATACTCATAGGTAATTGTTACTCAGCCTTAATCAAAGAAACTTGTCTTTGTAGTGAACAGTGGTAAAAGCAGAAATTCATACTGTATAAAGTGCTGAGAGTAATTGATAATTGAGTGCTTATGTCTTAACAAGACTTTGATATCTTGCCGTCTTGGGCTTAGAGAACATTACAGATGAGGAAGAAAGACTGTAAGGGCCAGAAGATAGGGAGAGAAGGCCAATGTGATGGTTTGTATATGCTTGGCTCAGGGAATGGCGCTATTAGGGGATGTGGCCTTGTTAGAGTAGGTGTGTCACCGTGGGCGTGAGCTATAACAATTTCACCACTTGCAGCCTCCAGATGAAGATGTAGTAGAACTCTCAGCTCTGCCTGCACCATGCCTGCCTAGATGCTGCCATGCTCCCACCTTGATGATAATGGACTAAACCTCTGAACCTGAAAGCCAGCCTCTATTAAATATTGTCCTTTATAAGAGTTGCCTTGGACATGGTGTCTATTCACAGCAGTAAAACCCTAACTAAGACCATCTTCTGGGTCTGATGCAGCCATTGTAATCCTGAGCTTGCTGTAGATTCCATCACCTGCACTAGGTCTGCACAAGATTAGCCTTGTCAATAGACAATAGTTCTGGATGAGGAAGAGTCTCGCAGGACCTTCGTGTTTAACTTTCCTGACACCCTGTGGGCTGCTGCAGAGGACTACCTTAATCTGGCTTCCCTAGAAGTGGGTAAAATGGATGGGGGAAATTCTAGAATGTTCTGAAAGTTGTCTTTAAGGCTGCAGATATATAGATATCTTGATCCTCACATAGTGAGGAGAACAAGAAAGGGAGAAATAGATAAATAAAGAGAGAGGTAGATATATAGATAAATAAATAGATAACTAGATAAACAAATAGATAAATAAGTAGACAGACAGATAGATAAATAGATCAATCTAGTTCTAGTGTACTTCTCACCTATGGGATGCTAATGCTATCATGGAAGCTTCATCCTCATGACTTTAAAACCAATCACCAAAAACGGCTTATAAATGCCATTTAATTCAAGGTTGGGATTTATAAGAAATGTTTTTATTTTTTTCCACAGGAGAGCATGAATACAGTTCCTCACTACCACCAAATATGCAGTTGAGTCTCCTGAATTTGGAGAAATGGTAGGGACCAGAATATCTAGATGTTCTGGATGGAATGGATAAGCTTCACCCCGGGAAAACCACCTTCGTGATCACGGTATCTCTTCTTTTAGGTAAGTATCCTGATACAGATTTTAGACATAAAACTTAGAAGAGTCTGTTCCTGTTGTTGACTCAGGCCGTGGTGGCTGTGGGTTGGGAGCAGCACACAACCTTTCCCATTTGAGCACACATGTGGATCGAATGACAGAGTATGGATGTGGAAGTCTGACGGGGCATAATGAGGGACCTGCTTTATTTGAAATTATCAGGAGAACTAGTAAACCATTTTTAATTAAAATTTGTTTAGATGTATGAGTGTTTTGCCTGTATGTATGAATGTATGTGTGTGTATGTATGTGAACCGTGTGTATGTAATACCCACAAGGCCAGAAGAGAGCATCAGATCCTCATGAAACCAGAGCTGCAGACTGAGCCACCACGTGAGTGCTGGCAACCGAACCCAGGTCCTCTAAAAGAGTAACATGTGCACCTAACCACTGAGCTATCTCTCAGGATATTTGGAGGCCTCCAGGACAGGTATTTTAAGGTAGCGTCAAAAGGTTGTACAGCGAGCATGAGAAGCAGCTATGGCTGGTGGGTGCCAGGCAGATGTCTCAGCAAATGCAAAGGCCAAGTACAGGGCTGAAGACTCTGTTTTGGGGAGAGCTGAATTGCTAAAGCCTGGGTCTAGGAGCTGGAAGGGTGAGCTCTGCAGTAGTCAGAAGTATGGTGGTAGGGAGTTCAGAGTTTAGTTCCAGGCAAAAGAAGCTGCTGGGGGATTCCAAGTGCGGCAGTAAGGTTCTGAATGAAACTTGGCAAGAAATGTGTGTGGGCCTTGGTGCTGCAGATGCGTTCGCTCCAGCAGGTGAGATAAAATTAAATCATTTTATTTATAGCATGACAGGCATGGAGCGATGTGTCACCAACTAAGAAAAAGGCAGCAAAACCTAGCAGCTCCTGTATTTTAAAATGCATATTCTGTCTGTCTTTCTTCTTCACTCTCTCTGTTGCTTTTCCTTGTAGGCTCATTGAAAGATGCAATGAAATCATTTTGAAAGAAGTGTAGTGCTGGGCTTGATGGCACATGCCATTAATTTCAGTCCTTGGGAGACAGAGGTGGGTGGATGTAAGTTCAAGACCAGCCTAGTATCATATCAAGGTCAAGAATAGCCAGGGCTACATAGAGAGAGACCTTGTTTCAAACACACACACACACACACACACACACACACACACACACACACACAGTCACGCATGCACACATGTACACACACACCAAGACAAAAAAAGAAAAAGAACAAATAAAAATAAAAACAAAACAAAAACAAAACAACAACAATAACCAAACCAAACAAACAAAAATCAAAAAAAAAGGAGAAAGAGAGAAGAGAGAGAGAGAGAGAGAGAAAACGGAGCATTTGTTAGAAGAAGCTTAGAGTGAGAGAAAGCCATAGGGGATGATTCGAGCAAGATAAGGATGGCAGCACCCAAGTCCCTTTGTCAGTGGACATTTGCAAGTGGAGTCCTCAGTGCCAACCAGCTGTCTTAGATTTGGACTTTATACATGCTTCTTTGCTAGCATTACCACCTCCTAAACATTGTTTATGACCATAGAGATGGGTCAATGGGGAAAAGCACTTACCTTGCAAACCTGAAGTCTGGAGTTGGATGCCCAGAACCCATGTAAAACTATTCTTAAAGCAAGATGAGAGTTAGAGTTATGAGTTTGAGGCCGGCCTCATCTCCAGGACAGCCAGGACTATGTAGAGAGATTCCTGTCTCAAAATACAAAAAGAGAAAACATTTTAAAGAAAAAAAAAGGCAGCTTGAGAAATGGCTCAGTGGCTAGGAACACTGAGTGCTCCTTTAGAGGACCCAGGGTCAATTCTATCACTTAGAAGCTTGTGAGACAGCTAGGCTGGAGTACATGGCATGGCAAAAACAAGAGGGAGTGTGCCTCAACAAGGTGAAAACAGAAGGGAGTCCTGAAAGTCATCCTCTGATCTCTACACGCACATATACACATTGTTGTGGTTGTGTATATGTGTTTGATATGGAGCCAGAAGACAACCTCGGGTGTTGGTCCTTGTCTTCGACCTTGTTTGATATGGAAACTTTTCGTTTGCTGTTGTGTACACCAAGCATGTAGCTGTCCCACATGCTTCCAGGGATTCTCATGTTTCCATCTCCTATACTTCTATAGGAGTGCTCAGATCACAGACCCATGCTATCTTCCCCAGTTTATGTGGGTTCTAGAGATTTGAACTCATGTTCTCACACTTGTGAGGTAAGAGCTTCTATCTCCCCAAGCCCACAGAATGATCTGAGCCCTAAGGAAGTAATTCCCTTCTCCTTTCCCTATTAATCTGCTTTCTGACCTTGGATTTGCCTTCTGGGTGTCTCCTATGGATGAGAATCATGCTAACCATACCCTATGAAGTCTGTTTTCTAATCACAGAGCAAAAATATTTTCAGCAATCCTCTAATAATAGGGGACTGTGTGGGTTACTTTTTGTCACAAACTATAGTCACTTGAGAAGAGGGAACTGTAACTAAGGAATTGCCTCTATTGGACTGGTCTGTGGACATGTCTCTTGGGGTATTTTCTTGATTGATGATTAACGTGTGAAGGGAGGGCTGTCCCCGTGCAGGTGGCCCTTTGTTGTATGCAAAGGCAAACTGAGCCAGCCAGTAAGTGTTCCTCCATGGTCTCTGCTTCGGCTCCTGTTTCCCACCACTCCCACCTTGGGTTCTCACTTGAATATCTTCCCTGACTTAAATTGATGGACTTAAATTTGTAAACCAAATATATCCTTTCCTTCCCAAATCATTTTTGGTCAGCATTTTGTCACACAAACAGAGAAGCAGACTAGAACAGGAACATATACTTGGTAATAGTCTATTGTGTATGTTTTATCACTCTTATTTTTTTCCTGTCATGATGGCTGTCTTAGATAGGGTTTCATTGCTGTGAAGAGACACCATGACCGTGGCAGTCTTATAAAGGAAAACATTAATGGGTCTGGCTTACAGTTTCAGAGGCTTAGTTCATTATCATCATGGCAGGAAACCAGGCAGACATGGTGCTGGAGAAGGAGCTGGGCATTCTATATTTTGCTCTGAAGGCAACAAAAGGAGACTGTGTCTCATACTGGGTGTAGCTTGAGCATGTATGACTTCAAAGCATGCCTCCACAGTGCCACACTTTCTCCAACAAGGCCACACCTACTCCAACAAGACTACACCTCCTTATAGTGTCTCTCCCTAGGGTCAAGCATTCAAATACATGAGTCTGTGAGGGCTATGCTTATCAAATCTCCACAGTGGTCACATTTCTTCATTGCTGTTACCATTATTATGACTTCTGGGGTGTTACTTAGGGGTAGGGGATTTCCAAGTGAAGAGAAGGAGGAAAGAAGAGGAAGGAAAAAAAGAAAGAGAAGGAAAAGAAAAAGGAGAAGCAGAGGACTAGGAGGAGGAGAAAGAAGAGGAGGAGGAAGAGGAGGAGGAGGAAGAGGAGGAGGAGGAAGAGGAGGAGGAGGAGGAGGAGTGTGGGGTGGGGTGGGAGTACGTCTATCTATGGGACCCGAGTGTGAGTTTAAACTTGACTCCCTCCCAGTGCATTTGTGGCTTGGCTGCACAATCACATCAGTGTTCATTCCAGTGAAAAGAGTTAATGTTTCTTCCACAGACACTCATCATAGGCCAACTCTTTTGACTGCCACACCCATCCTGTGAGTCAGACACAGTCATTACTGCCATTCTGTATTCAAGGAAACAGCTGTTCAGAGAAGGTGAGACATCTGACCACCATCAGACAAATAAGGGATAGTAGAGCTGGAATTTGAGGGCCAGATGTGTGGGCCCACAGCTAAATCCTGTAACTCTTGGGCTGTACAAGAAAGTTGGAAGATTATTAGAAGCAACTCATCAGTGGTTGAAAATGTAAACAAAACATATGACGATGCAATGGAATATTATTTAATCCAGCCTGGTGGGAAGATTGACACAGGAGAGGATACAAGTTTAAAACCAGCTTGAGCTCCAGAGTGATCTAAAGATCTTCCTAGGAAACTTATGGAAACCCTGTCTCAAAACAAAAGGAAAGGGGATCAGGGTTGTACCTCAGTGGTAGAGCACTTGCCTAGAATGCCTTAGTGAAGGCTTGAGAGTGTAGCTCAGTGGTAGAGCACTTGCCTAGGATGCCCTAGTGAGGGCTTGGGAGTGTAGCTCAGTGGTAGAGCACTTGCCTAGAATGCCTTAGTGAAGGCTTGAGAGTGTAGTTCAGTGGTAGAGCACTTGCCTAGGATGCCCTAGTGAGGGCTTGGGAGTGTAGCTCAGTGGTAGAGCACTTGCCTAACATATTTCAGGTCTTAGGTTCCATCCAGCATCCCACAAAAATGAGTATTACTCAGCCAGAGATAAGATGAAGTGTTGATACCTGGAACATGGCTGCATGTGGTGAGAGAGAGAATCCAGACACACAGAGTCCATGTATATCAAAATCCATGCCAACTGTAGCAGATCACTGACTTTCAGAGCTGCAGGCCCAGGACTTGGAATGATTGTTCAATGGGATGGAATCTCCTTTCAGGGTGATGAATTTGTCTTGGAATTAGGTTAAGTATGGATATACCCACCAATCTACAAATTTAAAACAGTCAGTGGTGGGCCAGTGAGATGGCTTAGTGAGTAAAGGCACTTTATGATAAACCTGACAACCTTAGGTCAGTTCTTGAAACCCTCTGTCTCACTCAAGTTGTCTTCTAACACTCACATATCGTATCCCCCCTCCCCACTACACAATAAGTTGATGTTAAAGAAAAATTTAAAATAGTCAGCGGTTTGTTCCATATTTTGTGAATTTGGTCTCAAAGCCAACAACCTTGTATGACTATGCATGAGAGGCATATCCAGAGACATGACATTCCAATTCTTCTTAGAACCTAGGAGTTGCAGAGCTCAGCATCCACCTAACAGAAATCCAAACAAGCATTCACACATGTAACTGAGCCACAGAACTGATAGAGGGAAGCTCATACCTGGTGCTGTAAATCTGGCCAGGAACCTATCGAGGAG